TTTTTCAGACGCGTAAACTCTTCAAAAATCACCAGTGGGGTCACTGCTGATGTATTTAATGTCGTAGAACAAAACGTGATTTATCTCTTAAATGTGTGTCAACCACAGACCTTATTTCGAGCTATTTTCCAAAACCCTATGGAGAAAATGCATTGTTTTTTGACGAAGGAACAGGAAGTGCTAAAAATGCTAACTTACTTCCGGGTTTTACGACGCGTCACTGCGGTTCTCTATTGAGAGTTTCTTCTAAGCTATATTCAAGTAATTTAGCCCGTACAATACTGTATGTGTGGAATATACAATGAGCAGCTTTTCAATGGCTTTTTTTTTTTTGTAAGTTGACCAAAATAGGTCTATTTCCCTGCAAACGTTGGTCAAGTGTTGAGATATTTTAGAGATATGGCTTGTAGGGCTGTACCCGAATATTCGTTCGTTGGAGTACTATTCGGGTTTCAATTTCGTTATTCGTTTTGTTTGTTTTTTCCCCGTTTTTTTTTCAAATTGAATTTATTGAAATCTCCAATATCAACATAAGAGCTTGTGCCTCTTCGGGGGGTGAGCACTTAACCATAAACGTTATCGTTTACTTTCTCCGTCTTTATATGTAGCAGCGACGTGCACTCAGGGGAGGCAGGGGAAGCAGAGCCTCACCTGTCATACTCATAGACTGGCCATACTACAATGTAACGGAAAAACAACTAAAGAAAAACTAAATAGTAATAATAAAATGTCTCCACTGATCTGTGTTGTAAATGTGATTTCTGTATGATTCCAATCGCTTTTTATAGTCAAAATCAGCAAATTTGCCGAGCTCCGCTACAACTACGGGTAGCGATGAGAAGTGAGGCAGGGACGAGCTCTGCCTCACGTAAACCCACAGTAACTTGCTGGAGCGCGGGCACTAATTTAGCGCGGGCACTTATTTTGTGAGCGCGCTCAAGCCAGTTACTGTGTGGTGAGGTGAGGCACAGATGAGCTCTGCCTCACCTCAGAATGCGTCACCCCACAGAAACTGTCTGGAAAGCGGGCCCTAAGCGCATGCCTGCACCATCTCACTGTATGTCACCAATGTAATGTTTGTAGATCCCTTTATTACATTTATCCTCGCCATCCATAGTCTCTAAATAACTTATTTCACGTATATGATATTTAGGCTCGCCGGTCTCATCATACAACGGCAATGAAAAAAGCACCAGGGGAGGCAGCCATAACCTCTGCCGCACTGAAGGGGGCGCACGTGAGCCCACAGGTCCTTGTTGCTACTGTTATTCTACGCAGAGACGGTAGACCAGACGCAAACAACAAACTAGACTTTTGAAACTAGAGGAAGATAAGGAGGACTTTTACAAAAAAGTAATAGAGATTGTTGTCCTTGTCCAGAAGGATAGCATGGACTTCATCTTCAAGTCAAGGTAAGACCACATTGGTAATGAAAATTGGATCTTACTAAGAAAGAACAATCCAATATTTAGATTGTGGGTATCCTTTTGTTGAACGGTCTGTTTAAAATGAATCGAAACATCAGACCAAAAAAGCTTTTGAAAATAACAGAATATTTCGATTAAGGTCAGAATATAATATTTGTAAATCTGACTCTGAAAGAGTCAGTGCCTCACCAGCCATGAACCTCACCACACGTCACTGATATGTAGATATGACTTTTCTCCGTTAATCTCCGTCACGTTGTTTCCAAAGCAACAACAACTTCCTGTCAACAGCGCTACCCTCTCCTTCAAAATAAAAGCATGTCCATAAATAGGAAGCCAAGCCAAATTACACTTAAGACATATACAACTGCAACAAAAGTAACAAACACAATGCGATATCCTTTTCAATTTCAAAGAACACAAATTAGGTTACATTAACAAATAACTATAAAACAACAATACTGTAGCGACCCTGCATAGGATGTCCAGGGTGTCACTCAGGCATCCCCCGTCTCTGCAATCATAGAGCTGCACAGTGATGCTGGTTGAGGTGCGGGCCTGTGGTTGGGGGAGCGGACGGGGAGGGCGGGGAGTTGTGACGTAGACACTGCTATAAATATATGTGTAGGGGTAGGAGTTAGGTTAGTGTGAGGTTGAACCCACAAGTGTACATGTACCTGTGATCATCTGTTGTCAAACAAGAGTTATTAAAGCCTAATAACGAGAAGCCTGTTTCCGACTCACCTTGTGAACGTTACAATACTGTAGAATAACTAAATGAATGCCGTAGCTGGCTCACTGTCACGATTCTTATGTTACGTCACGTTTTTAGTTATGTATGTCTTGGTTTGGGTTTATTTTGCTGTTTGTTTGTCCTCCCTTCACGTTTCATGTTTTTTTATCCGGTCTTCCTCCATGTTTTTCACGGTCAGTTTTTGTGTTATTGTTTTCCTGAGCTACCGTTTTGATTCATGCCATGTTTTGTTATCAGCTTTTAAATAAAGCTCACTTTTTGTTTCTAAACCTTTTTCCGTGTTTGTAGTCTGCATTGGGTCCTACCTTTTTCCGCGATCTTACAGAGATCCTAACAGAATGAACCGACCAAATATGGACCCAGCTGATTATGATTTTGATTTGCTTTCTCTGGAATACTCCCTTCGATGTCTTCATGTTGAGTGGAGTTTATCCTCGCCTAGAGGCAAAAGAGGCTATCCTTAAAAAGGCACAAATGGAGGTGGCCAACATGCCATGGTTGTGGAGCTCGTTGCCTGAACGGCTCAGAGTTTTCTCACGTAGCCCTGAGTGCCAGTCTCCATTTTCTGACCCTTTTTTGGGATCCCGTCTGGCATTTGGAGGTCCACTGAGCTTCCAAAAGACCTAAAAGAAACGCAAGGTCAGGAAGCCAACTCGTAATCCAGTACCGGCCCACACAGCCATGGATCCATGCTCCAGTACTGGCCCACACAGCCATGCTTCCGTGCTCCATTACCTGGCTCACATAGCCATGGTCCCTGCTCCAGTACCGACCCACACAGCCATGGTTCCGGCTCCAGAACCGGCCCCAGCAGCCATGGTTCCGGCTTCAGTGCCGGCCCCAGTAGCCATGGTCCCGACACCAGTTTCGGCTCCAGTACTGGCTCTCCGGCCGACGCCAGCTCCCCGTGTCCTGTCGGTGTACCGGCGGATTCCAGCCCCTTGTCTCCTGTTGGCTCTCCGGCCGACGCCAGCTCCCAGTGTCCTGTCGGCGTACCGGCCGACGCCAGCTCCCCGTGTCCTGTTGGCGTACCGGCCGACTCCAGCTCCCCGTCTCCGGTTGGCTCTCTGTCCGACGCCAACCCCCTGTGTTCTGTCGGCATACCGACCATCTTAAGTTCCTTCTCAAGTCCCCTCTCGAGTCCCTTCTCGAGTCCTCTCTCAAGTCCCTTCTCGAGTCCCTTCTCAAGTCCCCTCTCGAGTCCCCTCTCGAGTCTCTTCTCGAGTCCCCTCTCGAGACTCTTCTTGAGGTCCCCTCTCAAGTCCCCTCTCATGTCACCTCTCGAGTTCCCTCTCAAGTCTTCTCTCGAGTCTCTTCCCGAGTCTCCTCTCAAGTTCCTTCTCAGGTCCCCTCTCGAGTCTCTTCTCAAGTCCCCTCAAGTCACCTCTCGAAGTCCCCTTCAAGTCATCTCTCGAGTCACCTCTCAAGTCTCCTCTCGAGTCTCCTCTCAAGTTCCTTCTCGAGTCTCTTCTCGAGTCCCCTCTCGAACCTTCCTAGTCAAAGTACAGTGTGTAGATGTAGTGTTGTGCTGTGTTTGTTTGTTCCTCGTGGGCGAGGAACTTTGTAGTGGGGGGGGTAGTGTAGCGACCCTGCATAGGATGTCCAGGGTGTCACTCAGGCATCCCCCGTCTCTGCAATCATAGAGCTGCACAGTGATGCTGGTTGAGGTGCGGGCCTGTGGTTGGGGGAGCGGACGGGGGAGGGCGGGGAGTTGTGACGTAGACACTGCTATAAATATATGTGTAGGGGTAGGAGTTAGGTTAGTGTGAGGTTGAACCCACAAGTGTACATGTACCTGTGATCATCTGTTGTCAAACAAGAGTTATTAAAGCCTAATAACGAGAAGCCTGTTTCCGACTCACCTTGTGAATGTTACATTGGTGTCAGAAGTGACTTTTCGAACGGAGGACGTCTATCCTGACGGGAGTTCGTAACAGCGTCATGGAGCTAGCCGGTAAGCTAGCGGAGATGGAACAGTTCAGCAAGATGGGAGTGAAGCAGGAAAGTAGTGATGGAGAGGAAGATGGAGTATGTGGGTGGTCGAAGGACATGAGTGGGGAGTTCAGGAGTGCACGGGAGGCGAGAGAGCGCCTGAGAGAGTCGGCGGTGAAGATGGCTAGAGACGCGGGAATGTGGCGGTCTTCAGCGGCATTTCGCGCCATTTCCAAGCTGGATGTAAACAACAATGGCGGCGCCCATCAACCAGTAGCAGCCGCCGCGTCCATGAAAACACCCAAATACGGCAGACTGGGAGGCTTTCCATGCCCAATTTGAACTACTTGCACATGCCGGGGGGTGGTCAATAGAGACTAAAGCACTACAGCTAGCTTTGTGCCTCACAGACGAGGCTCTTTCATGTCTGCTACTACTTAGCTTTGAGGACCAACACAGCTATGAAGCGTTAGCGGGGGCTTTGAAGAGGCGGTTTGGACAGTGTTTCCCGCCAGAGCTGCTCCGGAACGAATTGAGTTACCGCTGTAGGAAGTCTGGAGAGACGCTGCGTGCGTTAGCTAACGACGTGGAGAGCCTGACGCGGCGGGCAAATGCACACATGCCACCCGGAGTGCAGAGTGAGCTGGCACGTGATCAATTCATCAGGGCTCTCCTCCCTGCGGACTTGAGGGTTGGGGTATAGCTTCAGCATCCACAGTCCCTGCAGGCGGCCTTGGAGATGGCTGTGGAGAGAGAGATTGTGTGGAGTGTAGCGGCGAGGAGCAACGGAGGGCCGGTACCACCGGCTGTGAGGAGCTGCAGAGAGGAGGAGAAGCCTGTATGGGTTACCGAAATGACTGAAAGTGTTCAAGTTTTATTAGGAGAAAATGAGGGAGATGGAAGCAGCTGTCAAGGCAGAGAGGGAACTGCGGCAGCAACAGGAGGCTAGACTCAAAGCGGAGCTGGCCTCTCTTGAGCGAGATCTCCAGGAGAGTAAAGAGAAGGAGAAACTTGTGGCCTCTCTGGAGAAGTGCCTCCAAGAGGGCAAAGAGAGAGAAAGGAGCCTGGTGGAGGAGGGTGCCAAGAGGGAGGCACAGTTCAAAGAGCTGCTCAGGAGCCTGGAAGCCGAGAAGGACAACCTGGAGGAGCGTCTGACGAACCAGCTGTCCCAGCTCAACGGCAGCATCGCAGACTACCAGCAGGAGGCGGCGGACAACCGGAAGCACTTGGCCGAGCTGCAGCGGGAGGTGGAGCGGTTGGCGAGGGAGCGGGCCGAGTTGGAGGCTGAGGCACAGAGCGAGAGCAACCGAGAACGCCAGGCTGGAAGAGGACATGAGGCAAACACAGAGAGAGAGCAGAAGCAGAGTCTGGTAAGCAGGAGGAGCTGCTGAGAGAGAAGCAGCTGGAGGTCCGGCAGCTGCAGAGGGACTGCATCAAGTACCAGGAGAGGATCAGCGAGATGGGTAGAGACGCTAAGGCGCTGCAGCAAGGTTACAACGAGCTCCAGAATAAGCTAGAACAATCCCAACTGGAGATTTTGAAAACTCTAGAAGACCTGAAAAGGACAGAAACAGAGTTGGATACCTGTAAATCTCAGCTGGATGAGTCCCAGAAGCAGGCAAGCGTAGCTATAGCGGAGAGGAGTACCATGGAGCAGAACGCCCAACACAGAGAGGCCTCGATGAAGGCAGAGGCGGAGCAGACCCTGGACTCTGTGAGGTTCAGACTCGGAGGCGAACTGAAGGAGATGGAGCTGAGACTGGACGAGGTGGACAGAAGCGGAACTATGACACCAGGACCAGAGGGCAGCATTTCCGGGCCGGGGAGCTGGTTTGGGTCTACAGCCCACAACGAAAGAAAGGCCGGTGCCCAAAACTGGACAGTCAGTGGGTTGGTCCCTGCAGAGTACTGGAGAGGGTGGGGGAAGTGGTCTACAGGGTGCAGCTGCCACCAAAGGGGAGAAAAGTGGTGCTCCACAGAGACAGGTTGGCTCCATACAGAGGAGTCGCTTCCCCACAGACCCAAGGAACATCGGGGCCCACAGCCGTCCCCTCGACATCCCCACTCAGGCCCCCGGCGAACAGAGCAGCAGTCCCCCATCAGGGACTGAGAGTCCCCCCATTTTTTCGCCGCCTGGGCCAGATCCGGCAACCCCCGGTCCTCCTGACCCCAGTCCCCCCTGCAGAGAAGGCAGACACGACCCCCGGGTCGCTTCAGAGACTTTGTGTGGTAGTAAAGTTATAGTGAGACCCCTCAGTTCCTGTAGAGGGCAAGAATGCGCCCTGGTCTCACTGGAAGGGATGGTAGTCCACCCAGACCTTCCTAGTCAAAGTACAGTGTGTAGATGTAGTGTTGTGCTGTGTTTGTTTGTTCCTCGTGGGCGAGGAACTTTGTAGTGGGGGGGTAGTGTAGCGACCCTGCATAGGATGTCCAGGGTGTCACTCAGGCATCCCCCGTCTCTGCAATCATAGAGCTGCACAGTGATGCTGGTTGAGGTGCGGGCCTGTGGTTGGGGGAGCGGACGGGGGAGGGCGGGGAGTTGTGACGTAGACACTGCTATAAATATATGTGTAGGGGTAGGAGTTAGGTTAGTGTGAGGTTGAACCCACAAGTGTACATGTACCTGTGATCATCTGTTGTCAAACAAGAGTTATTAAAGCCTAATAACGAGAAGCCTGTTTCCGACTCACCTTGTGAACGTTACAATACTGTAGAATAACTAAATGAATGCCGTAGCTGGCTCACTGTCACGATTCTTATGTTACGTCACGTTTTTAGTTGTGTATGTCTTGGTTTGGGTTTATTTTGCTGTTTGTTTGTCCTCCCTTCACGTCACGTTTCATGTTTTTTATCCGGTCTTCCTCCATGTTTTTCACGGTCAGTTTTTGTGTTATTGTTTTCCTGAGCTACCGTTTTGATTCATGCCATGTTTTGTTATCAGCTTTTAAATAAAGCTCACTTTTTGTTTCTAAACCTTTTTCCGTGTTTGTAGTCTGCATTTGGGTCCTACCTTTTTCCGCGATCTTACAGAGATCCTAACAGAATGAACCGACCAAATATGGACCCAGCTGATTATGATTTTGATTTGCTCTCTCTGGAATACTCCCTTCGATGTCTTCATGTTGAGTGGAGTTTATCCTCGCCTAGAGGCAAAAGAGGCTATCCTTAAAAAGGCACAAATGGAGGTGGCCAACATGCCATGGTTGTGGAGCTCGTTGCCTGAACGGCTCAGAGTTTTCTCACGTAGCCCTGAGTGCCAGTCTCCATTTTCTGACCCTTTTTTGGGATCCCGTCTGGCATTTGGAGGTCCACTGAGCTTCCAAAAGACCTAAAAGAAACGCAAGGTCAGGAAGCCAACTCGTAATCCAGTACCGGCCCACACAGCCATGGATCCATGCTCCAGTACTGGCCCACACAGCCATGCTTCCGTGCTCCATTACCTGGCTCACATAGCCATGGTCCCTGCTCCAGTACCGACCCACACAGCCATGGTTCCGGCTCCAGAACCGGCCCCAGCAGCCATGGTTCCGGCTTCAGTGCCGGCCCCAGTAGCCATGGTCCCGACACCAGTTTCGGCTCCAGTACTGGCTCTCCGGCCGACGCCAGCTCCCCGTGTCCTGTCGGTGTACCGGCCGATTCCAGCCCTTGTCTCCTGTTGGCTCTCCGGCCGACGCCAGCTCCCAGTGTCCTGTCGGCGTACCGGCCGACGCCAGCTCCCCGTGTCCTGTTGGCGTACCGGCCGACTCCAGCTCCCCGTCTCCGGTTGGCTCTCTGTCCGACGCCAACCCCCTGTGTTCTGTCGGCATACCGACCATCTTAAGTTCCTTCTCAAGTCCCCTCTCGAGTCCCTTCTCGAGTCCTCTCTCAAGTCCCTTCTCGAGTCCCTTCTCAAGTCCCCTCTCGAGTCCCCTCTCGAGTCTCTTCTCGAGTCCCCTCTCGAGACTCTTCTTGAGTCCCCTCTCAAGTCCCCTCTCATGTCACCTCTCGAGTTCCCTCTCAAGTCTTCTCTCGAGTCTCTTCCCGAGTCTCCTCTCAAGTTCCTTCTCAGGTCCCCTCTCGAGTCTCTTCTCAAGTCCCCTCTCAAGTCACCTCTCGAGTCCCCTCTCAAGTCACCTCTCGAGTCACCTCTCAAGTCTCCTCTCGAGTCCCCTTTCAAGTCACTTCTCGAGTCTCTTCTCGAGTCCCCTCTCGAGTCTCTTCTCGAGTCCCCTCTCAAGTCACCTCTCAGGTCTCCTCTTGAGTTCCCTCTCAAGTCTCCTCTCGAGTCCTCTCTCAAGTTCCTTCTCAGGTCCCCTCTCGAGTCTCCTCTCGAGTCCCTACCCAATATCCTGGTCCGTTGGAGGTTCCGCTGGGGGTCCTGCCAACTCCATGTCCTGTCCCGTTGGGGGTCCCGCCGACTACTCTTCTGCCGGGGGTCCTGCCAACCCTATGTCCTGTGCCGTTGGAGGTCCTGCCGACTACTGTTCTGCCGGGGGTCCTGCCAACTCCATGTTCTGTGGCGTTGGAGGTTCCGCTGAGGGTCCTGCCAACTCCATGTCCTGTTTTGTTGGGGGTTCCACCGGATTTCCTGCCAACACCTGATCCTGTCCTGTTGGCGGTCCCGCCGACACCTGCTCCGCCGGATTTCCTGCCAACACCAGATCCTGTCCTGTTGGGGGTTCCGCCGACACGTGCTCCGCCGGGTTTCCTGCCAACACCATATCCTGTCCTGTTGGGGGTCCCGCCGACACCTGCTCCGCCGGATTTCCTGCCAACACCAGGTCTTGTCATGTTGGAGGTCCCGTCGACACCAGCTCTCGCTCCGTCCAGGGTCCTACTGACACCAGCCCATGTTCCGTCCAGAGTTCCGTCCAAGCCTGTCCCGCTAGGGGTCCCACCAGCTCCTGCTTTCGATCCCAGTGCTCCGGCGATCCAGCTGACACTGGAGGGGTCCCATTGCGGCGTACGTTGTCCTCCGGAGCTATCCCATCGCCGCCTTCTTGCCCGACCTTGTGCCCGGCCTCCTGAGTTCCCCAGCGGCCTTCGCCCTCGAGACCAGCCTCCTGAGTTCCCCAGCCGTGGTATTCGCCCTCGAGCCCGGCCTCCTGACTTTTCGAACTCTGTCTTGCCCCCGGGCCGTCCGACCGAGAACTCCACCATGAACTCTGCCTTGCCCCCGGGCCATCCGCCCGAGAACTCCACCATGAACTCTGCCTTGCCCCCGGGCCGTCCGCCCGAGAACCCCTCCATGAACTATGCCTTGCCTCTGGGTTGTCGTCCCGGACCCCCTCCACTAGGGCTGCACGGTATTAAAAAAAACTGACATCGCGGTTTTCTCCCCCCCTGCGGTATATATTGCGGTTTTTTTAACCTGTTAAACCCCAAAGTCCCGGCGGGTACTTTACTTTTTTTTTTCACGACAGTGTCTCAGGGGATCGTAATATTTAAGAACCTATTAATGTGTTATACCAGATTAACGGAAATAATCTCAGCTAACTGACGATACAAACATTTTTACCAAAACAAAACACAAGTCTCATAAGAAGCATCTAATGACCCCTGAGCGAAAAATGCTAACGCACTTTGGCACAGAACTCAAGATAAAAGTACCCTTATTATTACTTTTCGTAGCTGCACATACAAGATATCCGATTAAAGCTGAGGTTCCACAGATTATTTAGGTATATAGTATCATCACTGAGTGATCTGAACTCGGACAGGGGAAGCAAACACAGACATCACAACACGTACCTTTACGTAGCTTCTAGGGGAGATGTCTCACCGCTGTCAATCTGATCAAAAGACGTGTTCAATGGCATTAAAACGAGAAAGAAAAAAACGCGGCTGAATCGGTTAATCCATAGGTTTTTAACGTCTGTATAAAAAAAAATGATTTAATTTATAATCCATAGTTCCATTTTTATGTAAATATCGCAGAGCAAAAGTTAGCTGCTAATGGTAGCCACCAGAGTGGCTGCTGCTTCCGGTCTTGGCTATGCGGCAGTCCAGCACAGTCTAACACACACACATTACCAAATAAGGAGTGAGTGACGCGTAGCCAAAACCGGAAGCTGCATACACTCTGGTGGCTACCATTAGCAGCTAACTGTTGTGCTCCGATTTTTACATAAAAATGGAATTATGTATTATAAACAATTGCTTCAAAGCCACGGATACATTATCAACCTATGGATCAACCGATTCAGCCGCGTTTTTTCTTTCTCGTTTTAATGCCATTGAACACGTCTTTTGATCAGATTGACAGCTACGGTGAGACGATCTCCCGTAAAAGCTCCGTAAAAGGTACGTGTTGTGATGTCTGTATTTGCTTCCCCTGTTGCGAGATCGGATCGCTTAGATACTATACTTAAATAATCTGTGGAGTCTCAGCTTTAATCGGATATATTGTATG